TAAATATAGTCACAATTATACGCGTGCGAATATTTCGTTTACACGTGCATAATTATATACATATGTGTAAATGCATGTGTATAAACGAATAATTTCGACGGTGTTTAATAACGGTAGATCGTAGGTATCGATCGATATATCGAAATATCTCATCTGTGATTCGTCGTTGAAAAAATTGACGTATTGAATGACGTCATCGGTAATCATTTGAATTTTTGTTCGTAGAACGTAAGAACGAATCGCGACAGGTAGTCGTTGTAAAGGTATAATGAATTGATAATGTGACAATTATTATTATTTTTCTTTTTTTTTTTTTTTTTTTTAATTATTGTTTTATTTGTTTTATTTTAACCGTCGAAATTATTATTATCATTATCATTATTATTATTGATAAAATAAAATGAAATTCGTTCGCTTATAAATAAATAAAATAAATAAATAAATATTTACGTGTATTATATATAAGCATTTTAAAAATATTATTATTATTATTAACGTGTATATGTATAGTGTCATTTTAATTCGTTTTCCGACGGGCGCAAGGTAAAAAAGACGTTAAAAAATTATTATTATGTGAAACGGTGTTACCAACTTTAAAAAGTAAAATAAAATCGAATAACGAAATTGTCGTTTGTGAATGGACAGATGACAGATGACGCCATTTTGGAATCGATTATGACGTAAGAATAACAAATAAAATTTTTTAACGTCTTTTTCTTGTTTCTCTTTCTCTCTATTTTTTTTTCTTTTTTTAAATTATCGCTTTTTGCTCTTAATAATAATAATAATAATAATTTAATAAGTAGTATGCTTTTTAAAATTTATTAAAATAAATAAATATATTAATATTAATATTTTAAATGTATAAAAAAGTAAAAAAAAGCAAAAAAAAAAAAAAGTTTTTCGAATTCGTTTTTTGTAGGTGTTTATATATTAATAATAATAATAATAATAATAATAATTGGGGTAGTAAGAAAAAGGAAAAAGGAAAAGCTCAAACTATTAAAAATTTTATTTTTATTTTATTTTATTTATTTATTTATTTATTTTTTTCAGTTGAATTATTATTATTATTTTATTTAGTTAATTACGATTTTCGTTGGTGTGGTCCTAATTTTTTTTTCTTATGGGGATTTCATTTGTTTGTTTGTTTGTTTGTTCGGTTGTTTGTTTGCATTTATCGATTGCATTTATTTATTTTTTTCTTTTATTAATAATTATTCTTCCATTTTTTTTTTCTTTTAAATAATTTATTTATTATTGATAATAATAATAATTAAAAAGAAGTCTGATATCGAGTTTTTTTCGATTAAGGTACGAGTAGAAAATTTATAGGTATGCTTAGTTAGAATCGTTCTCTCTTTTATTTATTTATATATATATATATATATATATAGTCGACAACAATTTTATTGAATTGTTTAAATAAATTTTCTATCTCTCTCTCTCTTTGTCTTTCTCTCTTTTAATTAACGTAACGGTTTTTTTAAAAATTCTATTATATATAACCGACTTTTACACACGCACGCATAAATGCATTTAATAATAATAATAATTATTTCTATAATATTTTTTAATTTCATATCTATATATCGTTAAATTATAAATAAAAAAAAACAAAATGGCGCTTTTTTTATTTATAAATAAAATTAAAACCATCGCGACATGACCACAACAAAAAAAATTCAAATAAAAAAAAAAAAAAACAAAAAAAATTATAAAACTAAAATTTAAAAAAAATCTTAATTGAACTTTTTTAATTTTTATTTATTAATTTTTTTAAATATTTAATTTACAGTATTATTATTATTATTATTAATTATTATTATTATTATTTTTACTTTTGAACGCGACAAGATACTTGTAAATACTTGTCGGATTATTATTATTATTATTATTATTATTATTTTTTTTTTATTATTATTATTACAATCCACGCCAACGAAATTGTAACTTTCACATTTTACTCAAACTTTATTATTATTATTATTATTAAACATTATTTTCGCTAACATTATCATTATTATCATTTATAACGGTTTATTTATGATTATTATTATTATTATTTCTTTTTTTTTTTTTAATAACAGTGTGTGATTAAATCGCACAACAAAAAAATTAAAAAAAAAAAATTTTTAATTAGTTTGAGACGAAATCAATCGGCAAATTTCAATTCAATCAATCGATTTATTCGATTTATCGATCGATTAATCGATTTTATATATTATTAATTTGAAATTTTTTATTATTAAAAAAAAAAAAAAATTCCATGCCTTCCTATTTTTTCGATATACATACTTTTTCCCGTCTTCCTTTTCTTATTTATTTACTTTTTTTTTTTTTAATGAAAAAATTATCATTATTATTATTATTATTATTACTGTCGTATGTATAAGTATGACTATGATTATTATTATTATTATTATGGTCACCCTTAAACACGACAAGGCTCTTATTTGTCGGGGTTTTTAAGCATTTATCCCAGGACAAATGATTATTATTATTATTATTATTATTATTATTATTATTATTATTATTATCTATTATTATTATTATTATTATTATTATTATTATTATTATTATTATTATTATAATCGATTGGTTATTATTTGCCGATTGATTTCAAATTTTTTTTTTTTTTTTTTTTGGAAATTTATTATTATTATTATTATTATTATTTTTTTAATTTTGTCAATGTCATGATTAATTAATAATGTGATAATTAATGTATTATTATTATTACTATTATTATTATTATTATGTTCGTATAAAATAAATTTTACGAGTCTTCTTCTTTAATTATGTATTTTAAACAGAAAAAAAAAAAATTTATTGAAAAAATTATTTATTTATACTACTTATTAAAAAAGAAAAAAGAAAAAATTTTCTTGTTAGGATTATTATTATTATTATTATTTATTAATTTTTTTTCTTTTTTTTTTTTTTTTTTTTTTTTTTTAAATTTAAATTTAAATTTAAATTTTTTTTCAATTAATTTAATTCAAACTTTCTTTTATCATTCGATGAATTTTGAATTTAATTTAATTTAATTTTTTAATTGTTGATTTATCGAAAATGAATTATTTAATTATTATTATTATTATTATTACAATGGTTACATGAAATTTTTTTTTTTTTTCTAACAAGAAAATGAATATATATTATATATATAATAAATAATTGTTTGAGTAATGTGTAGTTATAAGTTCTTCTCATGTTCATTCAAGTCGTTTGTAATCGAAAATTTTAAAAAAAAATTAATAAAAGGATAGTTTGATTAAGATTATTTCATCTTGTTTTCAATTCATTCATTCATTCATTCATTCATTCATTTTCTATTTTTTAGACTTTTTTTCAAATGATATGTATAAGAAAAAAGAATAATCGAGAAGTATCAATTAGATTAATTATTATTAATTGGGAATGATTCGAGTTGAATTTGAAAGATGAAAGGAAAGGAAAAATTTTTATTCGAAACAATGGAGAGGTTGATTAATATAATTCTCAATTAGAATATTAAATTAAATGAGGATTGCAAATTGATGAGATTGATTGTTCGTAATTAATCGAAATTTAGGGATATTGTTTTCTTTGACATGTTAGACATTTAACATCTCATCCATTATATTAGTATTTGTTATATCGCTGGTGAGGGGTATTAACTTATGTGTAGGGGAATGGGTAACATTTAAGAAACAATCATTGCTTCGATATGTATGATAAGTATATAACTAAATTGTGAACATGTTTTCTATAATGAATTTACAGCTGTTCATGATTAATAAAAGTATTATTATTCTCTTACAACCATTTTATAATTATTCAGCTGACAATCGTTTAGTAAACTATAAAACTTTTCAATAAAGGCAATAAAATTTTAAAGAATAGAGTTCAATCTAAATAAGAAATCAGTTGTCTATACAATTTAATCATAATGATAAATATTACTTTTTCATAAAATTAATTCAAAATTTTTTATTAAAGTTTGGTTATGATAAAAATTATCGTTTAAATATCACTAATATAAGTTTAAATAGGATTAAATACGATCGGAAAAGGAACATATATATATAAATACGTCGATTATTATTATTATTAATATTAATTAAAAATTCTTATTAAAACATATTCCGTTTGAAAAATACAAACTTCGTTTTTATAAAATGTTTGTTTTGTTTGAAAAAAAAAAACATGGCTTCCGTTAAAAATTTTAACGGATTCTGATTGGTTGAAAAAAGTAAATGACGTCACATGTTTGTTCGAAAATAACAAACGCCCTGTTAGTCAGAGAGTGAGCGTGTTCAAATGAAAGGAGGCAACGTCCATGTTGTCATCGATTTTATATCGAAGAAACTTATTTTTAATAATGTTGTAAATTTTTTTTTTTTTTTTTTAATTATTATAATTATTATTAGTACGGATAAATAAAAAATTTGTGTAAATAAATATTGTATCGATGATATAATTATTTATTAATTAGTTAATAACAGTAATGAAACATGAGTAAAAGTGACGGACAGATTTTTGATTTTGAAAAAATATGCAGACTTTGTCTGGTAGAGAAGCGTTCCATGTCGGCTATTTTTTCTAAAAAAAAAAGTGATAAAAAGGTGCCTTTACCAGTGAGAATAATGTCTTGCGCTTCTCTAGAGGTTAGTTATTATTATTATTATAATATTCTAAATCGTTTTTAAATAATTTATTTATTTATTTTTTTTTTTTTTAATCATCGTTAAAAACTCATCGCGTGAATTCTTCAGTAGATTTTTTTTTTTTTTTTACACACACAAATGAAGCCTCCGTTGTCAGCCATATTGTTTGGAATAAATCATTTCAATGCCTGATTGTTTTTATTAAATTTTTTTCTTTTTTTGAAGAATACGCGATTTATAAATCTCTATATAGCTTACTTATTTAATATATTATTATTATTATTATCATACACGTTAGTTAAAATCATTATTATTATTATCGGAATCATTATTAAAGAGTAATTACTTATTTTTTTTTTTTTTTGTTTTAGCTTTACGAAGGTGATGGATTACCATCGTCTATATGTAACAAATGTCTTCTTAGCGTTAATCAGTCTTATGCGTTTAGAGAACAATGCGAACAAGCTGATACGACATTAAGACAATATGCTGCTCAACGTATGACAGAACCCTCATCAGAGGATATAACAACGGTAAGAAACTCATTTATATTTTCCACCCTCGAAAAATTTTCATTCAAACTTCTTACATCATTCTCCAACTGACAGCGAAGATGTATCACCTTTTTATATGTATATCATCATCATCATCATCATCATGATTATTCACTCGATAAATTCATTGCTGGCTATTATTATTATTATTATTATTATTATTATTTCATTTCATTCGATTGTGATAAGATTTGAAAATATTTTTCTCTCCTCATTATTGCTACCTAATAGATTATTTGTTAACGAGTAGTTATGTATGTTTAATCGCTTAATGATAATAATGATGAAAAAGTAAATCTCATAGTTAATGAATTAATTAAATAATTAATTTACAGGAGGGGGAGGAGAGGGAGTTTGATGTAGTTTGATTTTAGCATTCCATCGATCCAATTGATGCAAATAAATTTATAAGAAAATATTTATTAGATTATTTTATTTAGTTAAACGATGGAGAGGAAAATTTTATTATCGATAATAATAATAATAATGTGAAGATTTTTCTCGTTAAAAATGATTGTTAGACTCTTGCGATTTTATGTAATTAATTTTTTATCGAGTATTATGATTTTCTCTCTCTCTCTCTTTCTCTCCCTCTCTCTCTCTCTCTCTCTCTCACTCTCTCTCATTTGTTATTGTTAATCGTAATGATGATGATGATGATGATGATGATGATGATGATGATGATGATGATGATGATGATGATGATGATTATGTGTAAAAAATCTTCAGTTTATTATTATTATTATTATTATTATTAGTTTTAGCTTTTGGTGTTTTCTTTTTTCTTCTTTTTCCTTTTTAGTACATATATATGTACTTTTATGTAGATATTATAAATTTTTTTTGAATTTATTATTATTATTATTATTATTATGCTTGATGATGATGAAAACTAACAAAATTTTATTCTGGGGCTTTAGCTAATCTAATTATTTACAGCTTTTTTATTTTTTTTTTGGTTGTTGTTGTTGTTGTTGTTGTTGTTGTTGTTGCTTATTATTGTTGCAGTATTATTATAAGTAAATTGCTTGTTTAGTTTTATTAGAATTTTATTAATGATGTGCATATTTATATATATATATATCATCGATGTGAATGATGGTGGTTATAATTTTTTTTTTTATATTTAAATGTCATCGAATGTGAAATTTTTTAATAAAAAATATTTGTTTGTTGTTGTTATTGTTTTTAATTGTTCGCGGTTATAATAATAATATTAAGTATAACGTTAAAAACAAAAAAAAAATGTTGATGATGAGGATGATTAAGAGAAATGTTCATTGGTATTCCGTTTGTTGAAAACAACAAACAAACAAACAAACAATGAAATGGAAAATTTTTGTCGAGTTTAAATATTAATAATAATAATAATTGAACGTGTTGTGTTGATGGCTCGGGGGAAATAACTTTCGAAATGGATTCGTTTTTAAATTAAAATTTTTCTTTTTTCCTTCTTCTCCTCTTCCTCCCCCTCCTCCTCCTCCTACCCCTTGTTTTCTTTTGGCGGGAACCGAGTGTATAAAACTCCTTTTTTTTTTTTTAAATAATAATAATAATATTGGTTTTGTTTCGTGTTGATTTTTTTTTTTTTTTTTTTATTGTCTATAAGATGCAATGTACGTGCACACGTGCAGATTTTTTTGATAACGATAAGAAACGATAAAAGTGATGTGCAGTTTTATTTAAGAAAAGGAAGAAGAGGAAATGAAACGAGTGACGTATTATTGTCACGTGACGCGAGAAAAAAATTGTGATAGTTTTCAATTTTTTTTTTTTTTTAAATTTGTTTTTCGCGATCGTGGAGGAAGTGACGTTGACAACGGACGCAGGTATCCATACCGAAGAGGAAAGGAAAAAAAAACGGTAAAATCTGATTTGAGATTTTTCGTTTTTGCAGACAATAACTTCCGGTCTTGATTCGATATCATTTAAAAGTCAATTCGAATGGAATCAATCAAGGGGAGAAGATGTAAAGGATTCCGTCGGTGATGACGACGACGACGATGACGTCGGTGATGACGTCGACATTATCGAGCCGACGGAAAGACTCGATTCGATAAAAAAAATTAATATTTCGTCGTCGAATGATATTTTCCACCACGATATATTTAAAACCATATCCGGAATGAGGGAAACGTCAAAATCGGTCGAAGATGGGGATTCATTGATCAGAAGACTTTTGAGTAACAAAGAAATTTCGTTGAATAGGAAAAAATCGGCGGGGGAGAAGGAGAAGGAGGAGGAGGAGGAGGGTGACTACGTCGTCACGGACGTGAAAGAAAAATGGTCGATAATAAAAAAATTGATGGAAGGAAATGGCGTCGGTGACAAAATTCCATCAGCGAAAGAGGAAACGTTGAAATGTTTGGAGTCGATGTTGAGAAAGCCGAAGAAGTTGAAGGATTCTCTCGTCTTTTGCAAACCCTGCAACTTATTCATGAAAAAATCAAGTTTGAGCGGTCACAATCGGTTCGTTCATAAAAAAATCAAAAAATTCCTTTGTCAGACTTGCGGATACGCTACGCACACGGGCACCATACTTAGACAGCACATACAAGCCGTACACGTGGGTTACACGTTCGAATGCGGTAAATGTTTGAAAAAATTCAACTTGTTGAAAAGGTTGAGAAAACACGAGGAAATCCATCATTCGAAAGGGCCCCCCAAAGTCCCGGATAAAAAACTCATGTGTCACTGCTGCGGTTTGTCCTTTCACCGGCCGTCATATTTGAAAACTCACCTTCTCACTCACACGGAAGAGACTCCGCACGGGTGTCAGTTTTGCGAGAGAAGATTTAAATTTCGTTGGGCGAAAGTTCAACACGAGAGACTTCACACGGGTGACAAACCCTACAAGTGCACGTACTGCCAAGAGGTTTTCACACAGAACAAAGTTCGGAAAAATCACGAAGCTAAAGTTCACGGATGCTAGAGCGGATGAACGTTTCCGGTTGTCGTCGTGTCGATCTTTCTTCCCCTCCCCCCCGTTTTCCCCGGTTTTTTTTTGGAATTTCGGGAAAAGTGTTTTATTATCATTATTATTTTTACGTGATAAATGAAAAACGCGACGTGTCAGTATCGAATCCTGTCGATACCGCGAAGAGGAGAAGGATTTATTTATTTACCATTCGAACCAGGTAAAGTGTCGACATCTGTAAAATGTTATCATGTCCCGCCCCCGCCCCCCTTTTTTGATTTCCCTTGATGATAGCAAAAATAATGATAATTTGCTGGGAGGAATCGGGGAGAAGAAAAAGAAGAAGAAAAATGTATGTCGGTGTGTTTAATTTTTTTTTATCGATTGTGTTTTTATTTAATGTAATAATAATGATGATGATGATGGTGATGACGTATTTTATATATTTATAATCGGTATTTATAAGTTTAACGGTAATTGTTTTCTCTCTCTCACTCTCTCTCTCTCTCTCTCTCTCTCTCTCTCTTGTTTTCTCCCTTCCGCTTTTTTCCGACGGCAGCATCTACAACAGTTTTTTACTTTTCAATGTTTTTCTTTCGTACTCGGACGTAATATACACATGTAATAATAATGATAATGTTTCAAACGGAATTAAAGTGGTGTGTGTGCGTGTGTGTGCGCGTGCGTGCGTGATATACACGCGGTTAATTATTGTATAATAAATTCGCTTTGCTCTTCTGCGTCAGTTTTATGCTTCCGGTGAAGAAAAAAAAAAAAAAATTTTTATTTAAAATAAATGGTGGGCAAGATAGAGCAACACACATTGACACACAACGTTTTTCATTTTCCAGAAATTGTGCGAATCTGTTGAGGAAGGTTTTCCCGAGACAGAGATAAAAATCGAGGAAATGGACGAAGATGTATTGATGACGGAACAAGGACAAAGTGCTGGTGGTGGCGGTGGTGGTGGTGAGGATGAGGATGAAAATGAGAATGAGAATGATGATGATGATGATGATGGCGAATCCCCAAACATGGACGATGTTGAAATTGAATATTTAGAAGAAAAATATTTGAACGATTTTGACGACGAGGAGGATGAGGATGAGGAAGTGGGAGTGGGAGTGGAAGTTGAGGAGGAGGAGGAAGAGAGGGTGGAAGAAGTGATGGCGAACGAGGATAGAGAAGAAATGGGAAGCTGTGAAAACGTAGAAGAATCCGAAGAGCACATATTGATTAAATCCGAGGGTGAAACGACGACGGCCGTCCTCTTGCCGAAAGGCATCAAAGTCGAGGAAGCGTGGGAAGTTGAGGGTGACGACGTCGCATTCATGTTCGTAGGATCCGACTGTGATGAAGTTTTGGAACACGTCATCGAGGACAAGGGTGACGAGGGGAGCGAAGATGTTGTGATATGTAATTTCTGTGAGAAACCCATTCGTAGCAATAATTTAGAAGAGCATTTAAGACTCATACACACTTTCAAGTATTGCGACCTCTGCAAGACGGAAGTCAAGGAGAAATTTTTCAAAGCTCACATGAAATCGCACGAGGAGAGTAAAGTTTTTTGCGAGCTCTGCAACAAATTGGTCAAAAAACAGGATTTCATAAAACACTGCAAGAAACATCAGGGATTCGACGCGATCGATCGACGGGAAAAAGTCAATAGGAAAGTCTGCGACATATGCGGGTATCAAGTCGAGGGAAAGGGAACGCTCAACAAGCACATGCGAGAGAAACACGACGAGGGTCAAAACTATTGCGATCTCTGCGAGAAATACGTTTGGATCAAGTGCTACGACAAACACATAAAAGACGTGCACGAGGATCACGAGGATTTTTGCAAGACTTGTTCAAAATGGTTCAAATACTACAAGACTCACATGAGAACGTCGCACAAGGACGTGGTGAAATTTTGCGACTACTGTCAAGTGGACGTGGAAGCTCACACGTTGGAAAATCACATGGCGACCGTGCATTCGAAACAGAGTAGATTTTGCGAAACGTGCAACAAGGAATTTTTCGAATTCGTTTGTTACAAAAACCACGTGAGAAACATTCACCTCAAAGTGAAATCGTACAAGTGTTCGGAATGCGATTTCACGACGGCCTACAGAACGTCCATGGACAAACACATACTCGGAACGCACACGAGAAATCAGAAATACGTGTGCGAGATATGCGCGAAAGAGTTCATAGTCAAAGACAATTTGCGCAAGCACATAAGGATGATACACAACGGACAGCAGAAATCCGTTTGCACGTATTGCGGCAAAGTCTGTCACGCGAATCGCGAGCTCATCAATCACGTTCGACTTCACACGGGCGACTTGCCCTACCAGTGCGAGTTCTGCCTGAGAAAATTCCCGAAAAAATGGACTCTGGACAATCACAGGCGAATACACACGGGTGAGAAACCCTACAAGTGCACTCATTGCGAGTCCGCGTTCGGAACGTCCGCCCAAATGAAAATCCACGAATTTCGCGAACACGGAGTCGAAAAATATCGTCACGTCGATCGCGCGGGTAAAAGGAGAAAAATGGAAAACATATTCGGAGTTTGAAATGGGAGGAGGAGGAGGAGGGGATTCCCCCGCCCCCGCCCCACCCTCCTACCCCATTCGATCCCATCCGATACTCGCTCGCGACGACCGTTTAACAATAAATCCTCATCGTTCGTCCAATCGTGATAAATATAATTTATTAAAATCCAAACGTTTTTTCTTAAATTAATTAATTTTATTATCATTATCATTATTATTATTATTATTATTGGTAATAATAAAATGCTGGTTTATTATTATTGTGTTTCCACTTTTTTTTTTTTTTGTAATTAATTATTTTGTATAGAAAAATCGAACAAACAAAAAAACAAACAAACAAAAAAATAAAAATATAATTTAAAAAAAAAAATATATTTTTTCCATTTTGATTATTTTTGTTATCGAGTGACGTCATAAATATTTTTCGCCATTTTGTTTTTTTTTCGCTTTTGTTTTTGTCACGTGGTTTTGTTGTCGGCACAACCGAATCGAAAAATCGAATTTCCCTCCCCCCCTCCCACCCCTTATTTTTGTCGTCGTCGTCATAGTTGTTTGTCGGGCTGGTTGTTCGATCGTTAAAAAATAAACAAACAAACAAACAATTTTTCTTTTTTTTTTTTATTTATTCGCGCGGACGGGTTGACAAAATTATATTATTATTATGAATGTTTAAAGTTTTGTGAAATGTGCGGTTGTCCTCAACTTTTGATAAAGGATTTTTAATTTCCAGTTTTCTACGGCATCGGAGAAAAAATTGGATTTGGATGAGGATTCGTCCGGCGGCGGCGGCGGCGGCGGCGACTACCACCATGTGGAAGTCGAAGATACTCCGCCAAACGTCGTCGCGAAAAATCCACCGTCGACGAATGTGAAAATAAAGACTGAAGAGATATCGGTCAAAGTCGAAGACTTGGACGAAACATCGGAGGATGTCAGAGAAGAGTGGGGAGAAGATGACGTCGAACCTTTGGCCGTCATGAAAGAAAACAAAACGAAAAATAAACTTAAAAAGAATTCGAACGACGACGACGACGATGACGTCATCAAAATGGAAATGGGTGTCGTCGTCGGAGGAGGAGAAACGAATAAATTGAAAATTCCAAAAGTGCCGAACGAATTTTCCGTCGGAGGAGGAGGAGGAGGAACCACCACAAAATTGAAAATACCCAAACCACCGAGCGGGACGAAAAAAAAACAAGTCGTCAAATCGAGTCCGAAAAAAGACAGAGTGTTGAAACCGCAATTCATCGACTGCGAAGTCTGCGGGAAAAGCGTTCAGAGAAGAAAATTCAAGTTGCACATGATGGTGCACAACGGTGAAAAACCTCACCTCTGCGACATTTGCGGGAAAAGTTTCACGTGGAAATTTGCACTCGTCACGCACAAGAGAGTTCACTCCGGAGAGAAACCCTACCTGTGCAAGCACTGCGGTCAAAGTTTTAGATCGTCGTCTAGATTTGCCGAACATTCGACCATACACACGGGACGAAGGTCGTACGTGTGCGAAAGGTGCGCACTCGCTTTCCGGACGAGCGGACGATTGAAAAGACATTTGAGAATTCACACGGGAGAAAAACCCTACATATGTTCGTTTTGCGAAAGGGGATTTTCCGAGAGTTACAATTTGAAACAGCATCGGAGACTGCACACGGGAGAAAAACCCCCGCACGTGTGCTACGTGTGCACTCAAGCATTCATAAGAAAGAAAATGCTCGTGGATCATTTGAGAATACGTCACGGGATAATGCATCCGACGCCGGAATCACTCCTAGCGGGACAACAGCAGCAACAACAACAACAACAACAGGAAGAACAGCATCAGCAACAAATGCAACCCCCGCAACAACATTTACAACAATCGCAACATCACAACATTCAAATCCAACATCATCGAACGACGGAGGGATTGGAAAGCGATATACGAACGCGGGAAAATTCAAATTCACTGACCGTCGACGCGGAAAACGTTTCGCAAATGCCAACAATCGATTTGGTTACGTTTGAAGGAAATAAATGAGCGGACGAACGTCGAACGAACGAACAAACAAACAAACAAACATATAACGTCGTCATGAATTAATCAAGGTAAAAACAAAAAAAAAAAAAAAAAACAAAACAAAACGTTGGAAAAAATTATTATTATTATTATTATTATTATTATTATTATTATTATTATTATTATTATTATTATTTAACATAAGTATTTATACAGAGTGTGTGCGTGTGCGCGTGCGTGTTGTGCGAAATTGTACAAAAAATAATTTTCTTTAAAGAACATCCTGTAAACGTCATTAATTTTCGAATTATTATTATTATTATTATTTTTCGGCCGATAAACCACCTTTTAGGGGGATTTTGGACTTTTCTTCTAGAACAATCTCTTTTCCAAAGGTCAAATGTCAAATTAATTTTCTTTTGTACGGTGAAGGTCTTTAGGGGTGGGTAGAGGGGTGAATGAGGTTGTTTGGATAAAAGATGCTTTTTTTCTAATTTAAAACTGCTTTCTCTCTCTCTCTCTCTCTCTCTCTCTCTCTCTCTCTCTCTCTCTTTCTCTCTCTCCCTTTTGGAATTGTATATTCGAATTTTACGGACGTGTCGGGAATGTTCTTGAATGCTCCAGGAATATTAAAAGGATGGATGGAAAAGTATTGAAAACGAAAAAACCCGATTTCTCATCGCGAGGGAACAAAAATAATAATAATAATAATAACAATGGTGGAAATGGTTGATGCATGGCAATATTTAAAAAAAAAAAAAAAAAAAAAAAAAGGAAAAAGGCAATAATAATAATAATAATTATAACGATGGTGATAATACAACTAAATAAGAAAGAAAGAAAGAAAGTAACGAGTTTTAATTTTTGCAGTGTTTGAACGACGACGACGATGACGACGACATCGACACGTTACAAGACAAAAACAGTTTGTTAGAAAAAAATAAAGAAAAAAATTTTACGGATAATTTAATAATGGTGAGAAAAAAATGGAAAGAAGAAGAAGAAGAAGAAGAAGATGGGGAAAATGACGACGGGGGGCAAGGAGGCGGGAGAGAGGATGGGAAAAGTGAAGAAGGCGTCGAAGGGAAAAATGGCGGCGGCGGCAGCGGAATCGACGGGAAAGAAAAAAAAGAAAATTTATCGGAAATTGTCCGAACGGTCAAACTTTGCGACGTGTGTTCGCAACCTTTTCGTAACGTTTCGTCATTATTGTCGCACAGGAAAGCGGAACATCCGGACAAGACGACATTTAAGTGTGCGGAATGCGACGACGAATCCCTGACGAGTTGGACGGTTTATGAAAAACACGTGAAAAATCACAAGCGTTCGTCTGTGTCATCGACGTCGACGTCGACGACGACGACGAAAACCGTTCGGTGCGACGTTTGCAACAAGGATTTCGAATACATAAACTCACTCGTACAACACCGGAGAGTCACGCATCCGACGGAGAACAAAATTTTCTCTTGCACCCTCTGCGAATTCACCGCGACCCTATACAAGGACTACAAACACCACATGAGAGTGAGTCACAAGGATTCCGGAGTCAAACTATCTCTCTCGTGTCTCGTGTGCGACGTTTGCGGAAAAGAATTCCTCTGTCACTACAACTTGTCGAATCACATGAAATACCACGGATCGCCAAAGTTCAAGTGCGACGTGTGCGGAAAACTTTTCAAAGCGAAGAAATCCCTACAGGGTCACCACAGGATACACACGGGAGAAAAACCCTACACGTGCGAAACGTGCGGAAAAAGTTTCCCGGGTAAAAGTTATCTCATCAATCACGGCGTGACACATTCGGGTCGTAAACCGTTCGTTTGCGACGTTTGCGGAAAAGCCTTTTCGAAAAAGTGGAATCTCGTACAACACGAAAGGATACACACGGGAGAACGTCCCTACAGGTGTCCAATCTGCGATTTGGGTTTCATACAGAATTTCATACTCAAGGATCACGTGAAAAAAGTTCACGACAGGGATTTGAGGGAATTTCAAAAAAAAAAAAAAAAAAACAATCCGACGGATGATGGATGATGGGTGGAGATTCCCGCCGATCACGTGACGTGTAAAGGATTACGAAAAAAAGAAAAAAGAAGAAGGAGGAGGGGACTTCGTACTGGAGAGAAATTTCTGGAAACTTTTTGTCTTCTGCTTCTGGTTTTTTTTTTGGAAAAGGTTCTTTTTAATTTTTTTTTTAATTGGAAATTGTGCACGCATATTATTATTATTATTATTATTATTGCTGTTGTTGTCGTGGTTGTTTGATGAAAGAGCACAAAAAGGTCGCTGCCAAATTTCGTTAACGAAAGCTTGCAATAACATGCTTTTCTCTCTCTCTCTCTCTTTTTTTTCGTATCAATAATAATAATAATAATAATATTATTATCATCATTTAAAAAAAAAAAAGGAATTGAATGGACCTGATTTTAGTTTTCGTGGAATTTTCCAGACGATCGAAGAAAAGAAAACGGAAGTTGAATCGTCGTCAACGTCAACTACAAAGTCGTCGTCGTCGTCGTCGTCGAAACCTGTGATTGAAGATGAAGAAAAGAAAAATTTAAGGGATAAGGATACGGTCGTGCATGACGGCGGCGACGGCGACGACGCTGAAGGGGGGCAAAGAAATCGGGGAGGTGAATTTTTTTCCGACGGAGAAGACGTTTTTCGTTCGCGTACGGAAGGTGAAAATTCAACGAGAAGAAAGAATTGTGAAGATGATGATGGCAACGACAACGACGCCACCGCCGCCGAAGATTTTTCACCTTCGGCGGCGGAAATCGAAAAGGGAAAAACGTACAAAAGGAAGAACGACGTCGCTGAAGACAAAAGGGAAAAGCAAAATTTGTACAGATGCGAACACTGTCCGAAAGTTTATCCGTCTCAAGGAGGTTTGAGCTATCACAGGTACATACATCACAGCGCTCAGTACACTCCGCCGGTGTGCGACATATGCGGGAAAACGTTCAGGGTACAGAAGTATTTGGATTCTCACAAGAACACGGTACATTTCAAGAACAAGGATCACCTCTGCGATTTGTGCGGAAAAGGTTTCGCGTCCAAGTACAGTTTGAAGCTGCACAAGATATGGCACAGAGGAGAAAAGAATTTCTTTTGCGACGTTTGCGGAATGAGATTCAGCACCGTGGGAAAAGTCAACACTCACAAGCAAGTTCACGGAGGTCCCAAGAATTACATTTGCGAAGTTTGTTCGAGAGCGTTCAGGTGGAAGAAAAGTCTGTTCACTCACATGAGGACTCACTCGGGAGAGAAACCGTTCAAGTGCGAACACTGCGAAAGGACGTTCTCGGCGCTTTGGAACATGCAGCAACACGTTAGGATACACACGGGAGAGAGGCCATACAAGTGCGACGTTTGCGGTAAAGCGTTCGCGTTGAACGCGTCGATGAAGGAGCACAGGAATCGTCATCACAACACACTTTAAAGGGGGGGGGTCTTCTTTTTAGGGGAGGGGAGGATCTTATTTTTTAAGGGGGTCTTCTTTCTTAAGGGGGGTCTTCTTTTTTAAGGGGGGTCTTCTTTCTTAAGGGGGTCTTCTTTTTTAAGGGGGGTCTTCTTTCTTAAGGGGGGCTTCTCCCCCCGGGAAAACGACCACTTCATTTCCATTTTAAACCAAAAACCAAAAGAAAAAAAAAACGAAAAAACGAAAAGAAAAACTCCAATTTCCCAAGCATAGTACGCTGCTAAAATCATTTCGACCGAAAAAAATTTTTCTATTATCTTCTTCCTTTTCCCTTTCTTTTCCTTTTTGTTTCTTCTTTTTCCACCTCCTCCTCCTCCT